GGCCACAGGAAACTGGGGTTGTGGAGCTTTTGGTGGAGACACCCGGCTCAAAGGTATCGTTGGCAAAACTACAAACATGGATTCAAATAGGGCACATTTAATTATTGTGTGTGTATAGCAAGAAGTGTGAAGGATTTTAATAAAAAAAAAAAAAAAAAAAAATATCATATATGAAAGCTGAAATGTTACTCATGTTATAGGTCAGCAGATACATAAGATTGCTTATATTAAACAATAGTTAAATAGGTCAGACAGGGTCAACCATTCATCTTTAGTCTTTGTTCCGGCCATTGAAGCGCCTGCTGAAAGACAACCAGCAGTCCTGCTTATGGACACTGTGCCACAGATGTTGGTCTCTCCCAAACTCCTCTGGTCAATTAGTAGCTCTCCCAGGGTGACACTCAGCCGTCCCTTCCCTCCCTTTATTGATCAGCTGACAGATATTTATGTTTTCCATTAAAAGGGCAATTGATTACAGGAAAGGGACACCATAAATCCAGGTTGACGCAGGTCTCTGTGGGTTTACACAACATCACTCTTCATATGAAGGGGCCCCTTTACTGTCCCCTCCAGTGCGCCACACTGCAGAAATTCCGCAGTTAGGTTCCTGGTCAATATCCTAACATCATTCAATAACTGTAATGTTGTTCATCCATGAAGACTGCTGCCCTCAAAGCCACATCTCCACATAGATATCCTGCAATTTGTATGCAAATGTTATTGGAGTTACATGGGTATGTTTGTGTACATTCTTTAATGAACAGATCCACTAGACTTGAAAAAGTCCCAAAGGATAATATTAGCTTCTGGGGACTCCCGCCCATTACCCCTGAAATTAGCATAGCGGGTAATTTTAGAAAGCGATAACTGTATTTTACATTATAGTCCCGCAGCTGACTTGAGATGTGGTAGTTAAATAAGACGAGCTGTTACAATATGTTGTAAAGATTAGGGACCGTTTGCAAATAATGTTTGTGCTGTGTATTTAAATCTGGAATCAATATCCATTCTGTTGAATATTTCAACGGCTTAAGACCTAATTTGCAAGGGCTAAAAGATCGAGTGCCGTTGATGAGGCTATGCTAACAGTGGTGGATTATTTACTCTTCTGATACAAATTGCTCCGGTCACTCGTGTTCTTTGTTGCCTGAAGCTGCACCTCATCCAGCTTATTGACCAATTACTTAGTTTCCTCAGCTATTTTACAGCATTCAATTACACATTTATGATTTCGTTGTGAAAAGGAAGGATACTAATGATGCTAAAACGGTATATTATTGTTGCCTGGACTCCCCTTTAGCGTTCTCCTTCTCACTTTTTCAGCGCTGATCCAGTTGATGGCTGCGGCAGAGGCTGGGAGAGACATGGCTTACTTCACATTCGGAGATGCTCAGCTAATGAGAGATGTTCACACAATACACTCTTTCCTCACCGAGAGACAAGTCAACGTTGGTAAGACTCGCACACAAAACACCATTTTTTTGTTAGACTCCCGTCCGCCCTTCTTCTGTTGAGCTCTTACACTAAATTGCATAATTAAAAGGAATGGAGGCTCCTGAGGCCCGTACAGCACGCGGAGGTTGTCCTTGCTGCCGTCATTACAGGGACAGTACGCATAAATAACAGAAGCCAGTCCATCTCAATGTTAAGTTATTCCACCTTATGGGCCATTTCCTTTTTCCTCAGCCTATCCATTCACCCTCAGCTGCAGAGTGGATTACCGCCTGAACTGACCCCAGCCTCTCCCCTCCCCCTCTTTTCATTTTTCTTCGGCTGACATTTATTGAAGCCTTTCAGAGAAATTCCCCTCTAGCCATCCATTTCCTAAAGTGGGGCTACAGAGAAAAAGCTCACGGCCCGGTGTGCGTGTGTACGTGCGTGTGATTTATAAATGAGCCTGAACAAGCTTTCATTTTTCTTCGTTTTTTTCTTTCTTTCCGTTGCATTTTCTGTCCCTCTAGTTTGCTCGTTGACACTCAAAGAACTTTCACTTAAACCCTGTTTTTATCTCCCTCCATATTCCTCCTCTTGACCCCTGCACCCTCCCCTATGTCTCTCTCTATCTCCCCCTCTCTTCACCTCTCTCCTTTACCCTTCCAGGGAGGCTGCACAAGCTTTTGAACCAGTACTCCAGTTTGGTGTGCAAGAATTGCCGAACGACTCGACCCGACGTCACTCTCTACAGTTTCATCTACGAAAAAGTATCTTCCCCTATGGCCGCCGATGCCCAGGACTCCACAAAGGATTCTGGGATGTCCCCTGTACCATCGGACACTCAATAACACGGACAGAGGACACTTATCCTCCCTCCCCCTGTCTCTACGTGTAAAAGAGACTCTAGGTTCAAAAACCTCAAAATGCTCTTCTAACAATCACTTCTTCTCTCACACACACTCCCTTTAAGTTTGTGATCCCAACACACAAACTATCAAATCACTATTTTGCCTTTCTTGTTGCTGGTATTTTAGGAGCTGCGTAGTATGTCGCCAAATGTGGGAAAATGTTTCAGAGACGTATAGCAATAGTAAATCCTGGTTGCTGTTAGGCCTTTCTTTAGTCTAAATATGATGTGGATTATTCTTTTGGTTTAACACTAATTACAAATATGGCCAAATACTCATCATGTGCATGGTAATGAACACATTTCATTATTAAGAATCCATAACATGATGATCTTCCCTAGTTATCTTTTCATATTGGTTTTTGCTACTTTTCTCTTCTCCATTTATCATACCTAGGCAGTGGTGAGATTCCTGAATGCAGAGAGATGATGCCATACTGTGTAGTCTATGCATGGGTAACATTTATTTATCAAATACACTGCTCTTTTAATATCCCATAGGATGTTTACATATACTTATTGTCCTTATTTTAACATTAATCTAAACTATCAATAAAATGTCATCTGCATGAGATTAACCTCAGATAAAACATATTTAATTTATGGTCATTTTCATCTTCAGACCTTAAGTTCTATTCTGAACTTAATCAAATATATTCAGTGTTAGCTACTGTATAAACAAATAAAGTTGGGAGTGGAAATAATTGCACGCAAAATGTTATTTTTGTTAATGATTTTACTCAACATTTACTTTTGGGATATTGATGTGTTTTTATGATTTTCTGATTGACAGTATGGATTGTGGGTTCATAAATAAAATTAAAGACTGTAAATGTACTGCATAGTACTGTACTTTAGAGTTTTTAGGCTGTACGCTTTACTATAATTTCTTAATTAAAGTATGCAGAGGAATGGTATTCCTCTGCTCACATTAATATAATTGACTGCCCTAAAAGGAAAACTAGCAAAAATAATTTTAGCACAGGCTGTTTATTGGTTGTATACTGTAACCTCCGTTAACAAACATGTTCAGTATGTAGATTTACATCAAGGTAATGTTATAATATATAGATCATCTAGAAATAATTAGTTCAGACTCATTAGAAAGAAAAATGTCCTTTGTCATGTCTTTGTGATCGTGCCTTGGCACCCCAGTTTGTCACGCACTATCATGAAATCATACATTATTTAATCATTTGAAATGTGATGGATTTTTGTGATATCACGTGTACCAAGGGCTTTCAGACAAATTGAATTCTGCCTCCAAACATGCTTTATTGGATGAATTAGGGTTCTAAATAACCCCATGACGTGGACTCTCATAAATGGTGTGTAGGCTTGGTTGGGTAACTGGATTATCCATTATCTGATCCTCCTGCATTTTGTACTGAGCCCCGCACGGCCCAGATGAGCTGTGTCTCGTAACAAAGTCAGCTTGGTTTGGCAGACCTGACTGTTGATGGCTGCCGTTAGCCTGGGTTACCTTGACATGAATTTATTTACGTTTCTGGTGCATGATTAGAGAGATTACTTGTTTTATTTCCCCCAACAAATATGTATTGATTTCAAATGCAGAGAAGTTGGTCCAGTTTTGTCCAATACCATGATGTAATTATTCTCAAACAGGATGTCATTTAACACAGAGCACCTAATGTTACCCAGCAGCACAGGTCCTTTTATTGGTGAACACTATTAATAAAACACCAGAAGGCAACTGGTCTTCACTCCATCTTTGTCAGGCGGCAAAGTCCCCACAACAAAATGGCATTTCAGTTCATAATTGCTTGACCCTTTATTCTACAGGTCAGCCAAAGAGCAGGAGAAAATACAAATGCAAAAAATAATGGGAAATGAGGAACTGTCTTTCAGGGAAGGCTGAGCATGTTAGTGCGTTGTTCTCGACTTATGCATTTTTGAAGTAGATGAAAACATTTGTTTTCATTTAATTTGTTGTCTGAGCCTATTATATAACATTGGATATGTTAATGGTTTAATTGGACATTTTTGTATTGAACCGCCAAAGATTAGCTGTTTAAAAGCTGCACATGGAGGATTTTGATTTATGTGATCATCTGATATTTAGATTTACACTGTTCTGTTTGGTAGGTCCTCCTGCAACTCATGCCCACTCCATTTTCCCCTTTTCAATCCTATGTTTGTCGTGATTGATAACACTGTTACTTCAGTGCCAGCAAGTATGAATGATGAAAATCTCGATGAGCAGGATAGAGGGAGGCTGGGCCAATTATCTTATTGTTTAACCCACTCAAGGTAGAAGCCCATCAATCTGAAACCACTTGCTCTAATGACTCATGTTCAGCCTTTATAAAAGTTGAATTGCCTCGAATAATTAAGACTGAAGGCAACGACATATGTGATGTTACTAAAAGGGGAACAAATTACCTGTCTGGAGGAGAAGTGTATGCAGGGAGGGACTATGGATTAAAGTAAGTATTCTGATTATATAAATGCAAAAAGAGAGGCACTAACACAATATTGTTTTAATAGCATCTTATAAGAAGTTTTTTTTTACTTTTCTCTCTCTGAGCTGCTGTGTTTGGGCATTACCTTGCCACCTTTGGGTGCACGGGGCTGCTCAGTGTCAACAGGAAGTACCACCTGATACAAGGGGGGCGTGTCAAATAATCCACGCACTCGGTTCCGTCACCTCCACAGATACCTGTCCTACTTAGACTCTCCGGCGAAAGAGTGAAGTCAGTCTAAGGTAAATGTAATTTATAGACATAAAACGTACCTGTGCCATTTTTAACCACTATCCTATTTCCCGTCATACTGCGCGTTTGCAATGTCAGAGACGAGGAGAGATTATGAGGGTTTAAATGTTGACGTTAAGGGATTAGGGAAACTGTAACAGACCCACAATGACATAGGCAATGTTTTTTGCAGTGATGTCAGCGGTGTAACCTGAATAAGCCTGTAAAGCATCCTGCAGGAGAAGGTGAGGAAGTTGTACACTAAAGACACCTTCATACTTTCAGCCGGTAGGCTATGCGTGCTTTTCTTCAGCTGCAGAGACTTTGCGCAGAAACAAACGTTACGCAGTTATATTCAGTCTTGCAGAGGTTTTAGCATACATAGAATATGCTACATGCTGCATCAATCAGAGGAAATCCCATACAAATTGCAAACGGCATTTCATTAATGAGCAGTCTACGCAAAGTCCTCGTACAGTGCCTCATTTTATGTGCATAAAATCCATTACTAATTCAGATGGTTTGGGATCAATCATCAAACCGAGTCGTGCACACATTGTCTGAGTTATTATAAATGATTGACAATCAAAATACCGAGATGTCTCATTGTTTATCTCTAACCTCTTTTACTTTCTTTCTAGTCATGAGTCAGTTTCGGGCGTTAGCGGGTGTGCTGAGGGGAGGGCGTGCTGGGGGGAGTCAGTGGCTTCGAGCTTGTGGAGGGGCCCCGGCCAGGCGCTGGGTCGACCCCCGGAGAGGCTGCTCCTCCGGGGCCGCGCCGGTCCTCTCAACGGTGGCCGGTAGCTCCAGCTATATGGAGGAGATGTACATTGCCTGGCTGGAGGATCATACAAATGTCCATGAGGTAACATTCGCAAAACTTCTTTCCAAATGTTTTGATAACAGAAACAAATATTATATTAAGTTCTCTGGCCTTTAATGGAAATTTGGAAAGGGATAATGTCCAGCTGGTCCAGCACATCTGGAAATCGAGTTGGTGTAGCAGCTAAAGTTCAATTAACAACTGTCAGCATTGATCTTGAAGAAGGACATTTAATAAATGTATATGCTGTAGCTGCAATGTCTAGCCTTTCACTGTCCTGTCTTCCCCTAAACTAGCAGTCAGGGATACTTTTGGTCCATGTTGTTGATGGACATTCTTGCTGGGTCTGTCTTTCTCTGTCTTCTAGTCCTGGGACACCTTCTTCAGTAACATCCACGCCTCCAGTCCACCTGGCGAGGCGGGTGAGAGACGCCCCTCCGCTCTGCTCGAGGGCCGAGTGCTGTCCCACTCAGCAAACATGGCCCAGAAAGTGGTGGAAGACCACCTGGCTGTGCACACACTCATTAGAGCCTATCAGGTACTCCCACCATACTGTCCAGCTGTGACACAAACACACACACACAAACATCAGCTGTCAGTTTGTATAATGTGGATTTATGTTATTCACAAATTAAAGGATTCATCACATATCTCTCAGGCATCCATTTAATTTTAATGCAATGTCTGTGTACAGAATTAAGATGTCATCAACCTCGAGCCACAACTGACTATTTGTATCTTCGACATGTGTGTGAAAAATACATCAAACTAAATTCTCTTGACTCGCTAAAACAGATGCAACTGGCAATGAAAGCTGTTTATACTGCGTGTCCTCGTATTAAAAGGAATATACAATTTGTTTGTCGCTGCACGAGGTTATGCAAATTGCAAGATTAAGTCCAACCTACTTACCCTTGCTGTTACTTGAAAACTGGAAATATCAAAGAGACTACTTAAACAAAACAGGTGCTAACATTTCCCCTTGCCCTTAAATTAATTCGAGGAACTATCCGAGGGATTTATTAAATTCTGTCTTTTGGCAAAGGCGTCAATTGTATTCCCAGCGTGTTGCAATCCTAGTGTGTGTGTGTGTGTGTGTGTGTGTGTGTGTGTGTGTGTGTGTGTGTGTGTGTGTGTGTGTGTGTGTGTGTGTGTGTGTGTGTGTGTGTGTGTGTGTGTGTGTGTGTGTGTGTGTGTGTGTGTGTGTGTGTGTGTGTGTGTGTGTGTGTGTGTGTGTGTGTGTGTGTGTGTGTGTACATAGACATAAAAGCACTCCCATGGGGCCCTGTTCTCAGAGAGGTTGACCTGGCTATAACTGAGTGTTAGCTTATTCTCCAGCTGTTCACACTCAGCCCCTTGCCAAATCTTGTGTTTCCTACCTGTCACTTTCTCTTGTTTACCTGATTCTTCTCACCCCTTTCTTTTTTATTCACATATTTGTCTGTCTCACCGTGTAGATTCGTGGTCACCATGTTGCGCAGTTAGACCCTTTGGGAATCCTAGATGCTGATTTGGACCACTTTGTTCCATCCGACTTGATCACCACCATCGATAAATTAGGTGAGCCTTAAAACCTGTGCGATCATCCCAAACACATCACACTTCACTAACAACTACAAACTTTTAATTGTGATATCTTGAGTCCATAATTGTCATGGCTTTCAATTATTTAAATAGTGTCATGTCTATAGGCTCCATTAAACCAAATATATTTCAGTAATGCATATCAAAATACAATGACTTTCGTCTAATTGCCAGGACTACTGTAATTATGCATTTACTTTTTTTAGACTTATAGAATATGTATATTCCTCCTTATTTTACCCCCGTCCCAACAAAAGGAATATGGAGTTTACCCATGGGCAATAAATGCTGATTAGGTTCCTACTATAGAAGTACTTCCTTCTTATTACCTAAAAGATTCTTGTCATGCTTATTCTTTCATCATAAACATATGTTTTTCTCATTGGTGGGTTTACTTCAACTGCTAGATTTGTCTCATAATGAAAATATCTGTTATGTATTTTTCCTGCGCTTTATTTTTATAAACTGTATTTATCCCTTTGAGGGTTTACATAACATACATGTGCATACACACATTATTCACACAGGTTTGCATTATTTATCAGACCCAAGATTGTAAGTGGTATTTCAGCATAAAAGCCACGTTCCCCGCCGAGTCTGTATACGAGTTGTTTGGCTTAATGCTGTCATTAATCTCAGAACAAGCCCTTGTCATTCTCCATTTCATTTAGTGGACTGAGCATTGGTAAATGCGGGACAGCCACAGAAAACGATCGAAGTGTACAGTCATAGCGAGTAAAGAGGAGACAGAGAGACGTTGTTGGCTGCTGTTATCAGTGATCAGTGCGTGTCAGGACATAGCGTTGCATTATGTATTGTCACAAGGGCTATAGCTCCCTAATGAAAGCTAATGACAGCTTCCATGGCCCCTTATTTGGTCAGCTGATAGGACAAGAGTCTATTCTTGGCCCCCTTTGTCTTAGCTGTGTTTCTAATATGATTTGCACCTGTCTCCTCTTATGTTGCTTGTGATCTTGAGCTTGACCAGCTCTCTCAGGTGGGCTTTGCATATGAAACTTCTGCGGGGCCATCAATACTGAAGCTGTATCTCTACATATCCTGTTAGTGTACTTACAACAATGCATCCTTTTTATGAATCAAACCTTATTCTTCACAGTTTTTTGCCATCAAATCCAAATTTGCTTATATCCAACCTAAAGTTAATTGAATGCTTACATTTCCAGGAGGCACTATTGTCCTACTCACTAAAAAAGCAGGCAATAATTATTCTCATCATCAATTAATCTGTCGGATACTCATTTTTCAATCAATGCATTAATAATTTAGTCTAAAATGTCAGAAAGTTGTTAAGAATTAACATAATAATTTCCCATTGCCCAAGGTGATGTCTAAAGATTGCCTGTTTTGCCGACCAATAGTTCAAAACCAATTCCTGCCAATTCTCACTCACACATAATAAAACAGATAATCATAATTGTTTGGTGACTTATTTGATTAGTGATATTAGTTAATTGAGAATACAATTTAATTATTTTTAGTATTTTTGATGCCTTCACATGATATCAGAGGACAATGCTTAGTCCTGTTTCTAAAGTCTTGAACAAACCTGTGTTTCCTGTGGTGTTATTGTAGGTTTCTACGGTCTTGATGAGTCTGATTTGGACAGGAGCTTTCAGCTGCCCTCCACCACCTTCATCGGAGGAGAAGATACCACTCTTCCTCTAAGAGAAATCATACGCAGACTTGAAGTAATATATCTGTACATGTGTCTAATGATTTGAAAAAGCCAAAACACTGTACCACAATTTATGTTTTGTATGTCTTTTGTATCAGGCATCCTACTGTGGTCACATAGGGATAGAATTTATGTTCATCAACAACGTGGACCAGTGTCAGTGGATCCGTCAGAAATTTGAGACCCCGAGAATACTGCAGTTCACTAAACTTGAGAAGAGGACTTTGCTAGCCCGCCTGATCAGATCCACACGGTCAGCAATGAATTAACATGTACTGACTTGTGGTGACAGCACTATACTTCACTTTTAGTTATAGCTCACATCAGAGCCTCGCAAACATAAACTCTTACACATGCATATATTTAAAAAGATAAACAGCCTATCCTTCATATGAGCTAATTTTCATCTTTGATAAACGATCTTAGAAATCATTTGTCTATTGTTGGTGTGCATGTTCTTTGCACTGTTATCATTCCTAATTAACACACACACACACACACACACACACACACACACACACACACACACACACACACACACACACACACACACACACACACACACACACACACACACACACACACACACACTGGTATTGACTAACATTTGCAAAATGCTTGGGAATATCTTTTTTTTAAAGTGCTGTAATGGTGCTTTAGTGATCATTATTATCAGCTGGTTAAGTGTAATTCTGTATTATCATCAGCTGTGTAAAACAAATCCCATGAGTGCTACATGTGGACTTCTTTTTGTTTAAAGGTTTGAGGACTTCCTGGCAAGAAAATGGTCTTCAGAGAAGCGTTTTGGTCTGGAGGGCTGTGAAGTGCTCATCCCGGCTCTAAAATCCATGATTGACACGTCGAGCTCTGCCGGCATCGACAGTGTAATCATGGGGATGCCTCATCGGTACTACCGTCTTTTACATATGTCCTCACCTCTCAGCTCAATATATGCAAACAGCTGATTATTTTCCCTCCATGTCTGATATAGGGGTCGACTGAATGTGTTGGCCAATGTGATTCGTAAGGAACTGGATCAGATCTTCTGTCAGTTCGACCCCAAGTTAGAGGCATCTGATGAGGTGAGGGAACTGCAGATGTGTGAGAAAGTATCAGAGAAAAGGCCGTAAGAGATGCTGTACAACTAATGCTTTAATCTTTTCACCTTTAGGGGTCAGGGGATGTGAAATACCACCTTGGGATGTACCACGAGAGGATTAACCGTGAGACAGACAAGAACATCACACTGTCACTCATGGCAAACCCCTCCCACCTGGAGGCCGTAAATCCTGTGGTTCAGGGCAAAGCCAAAGCCGAGCAGTTCTACAGAGGAGACACTCAGGGGAAGAAGGCAAGCTGTCTGGTACCAGGTGCACACTAGCTCATTATGTGGCTTTTTCTATAAATGATGATGTGATTTGTCCAGGTGATGTCCATCTTGATCCACGGTGATGCTGCTTTTGCTGGACAAGGAGTTGTTTATGAGACGTTCCACCTGAGCGAGCTCCCCTCCTACACCACACATGGTACAATCCATGTGGTGGTCAACAACCAGGTATTGGAGAGTTGATGTCACCGCAACATTGGACATGACACATTTACCATTTGCCAGGATCAGGGCTGCCCCTGGCCAACTTGTGGCCCCACGTGAACTTGTGTCTTATTGTTTTACACAATTAATACTTTATTTATTAATTAAGAAAACTGACAACATTATTTATTAAATATTTAGTTTTACATTTGTTAAAGAGTTTTCTTTTTAACTTTTTAGGTGTTTAACGATAGATCAACGATCAATCATCGATTATTTTTACATACTTTAAAACATGTCTCAAAGGGAATTATCCAATGTTACACATACAATTAAGGCACATTTTGTGCAACTGAAAATCATTAAGATCATATTTTAAGTTATTCTAGCCCAAATGATATCAAATTTGGCATGTGATTGTTTTTCTCTCAGATTGGCTTCACCACAGACCCTCGAATGGCCCGCTCCTCGCCCTACCCCACCGACGTGGCTCGGGTTGTCAATGCTCCCATCTTCCATGTGAATGCTGATGACCCCGAGGCTGTCATGTATGTGTGCCGGGTGGCTGCAGAGTGGAGGGCCACCTTCAACAAAGATGTCGTCATTGACCTGGTTAGTCACAGCCGAGTCTTAAAGCGGCAGTTCACCCCAAATTAAAACAAAAATAATTGCTCTTGCCTGCCCTGCTATGTATATATAGAATGTTTTGGCCTGAGTTGCCAGGTGTTGGTGATATCGGCCATAGAGATGTCTGCCTTCTTTTTTTATACATGTATTGGAACTAGATGGCAATAGTCTTAGGTGCCGAAAAGGGCCAAAAATATACATGTGAAAAATTCAAAATAAACGTACTATTCCAAAAAACATGACCTAATTACTTAAGATAATCCACAGACCTTGTTGTGAGAAGTTTCATGTAGGAAATATTTTCTTTGAACTGCACTTCAAAAACCAGCAAGGTCTGTGGATCATTTTGAGTATCTTGGTCAGGAGTTCTCTTATTTTTGCAATGTTCTAAATGTTTTAGCACTTTGAGCATCACAAGCCCAGTGCCATCTTGTTCCAGAGAAGGTTCTAGAGAAGGAGGACATCTCTACGGCTAATATCTATGTATTCATCATTTTATTTATGAATAAATTAAGCAATTTGTACATTGAACTACAGGTAAGAGAATAAATAAGTATTTTTGTTTTTGGGTTGAGTTGTCCATTTAAAAGACTCACAGGAAACACCATTTTGAATACACACTTCGACGTGACTTCTGTGTGTATTTACAGGTTTGTTACCGGCGATTTGGACATAACGAGATGGACGAGCCCATGTTCACTCAGCCACTGATGTACAGACAGATCCGTCGGCAGGAGCATGTGCTGAAAAAGTACTCTGACCGGCTCATTGCGGAGGGAGTGGTGACTCTGCAAGAATATGAGGTTTGTGATCTAATGCCGTTTGTTCTTGTTAAATACTGTATATTGGAAGCTGCTACTGTATGCCGTTTTATTTGGTATCGCCATCCGCTGGAGGATGTGCATTAAATCACACTATGATATTACTTTAGCCTTCGAGTAAATATGTTGCGCCAGCACTGCTGTGTTTGAGTTTCAATTTACTGCCTCAGTTCAATCACTGAGCCTCACAATCCCTCACATAGAGTATATATTGCTCAATGAAGTTAAAGTGTACCTCAGATTTCGGCGCCATTCTATGGAATTGCTCAGGTTCTTCATCCAAAACAGACATTTTGATTGTAACATCCATTGTGGACTTTTTTTTTATACCACATGTCAGAAATTTCTCCCGGCTTTTGATGGACATTGTTTTCTGTTGTGTGGCTGCAGTATGGACTCTCACAAAAGCCTCATTTGTAATATAGCAAGGCAGAACCATTACTGCTGGAGGAGACTCTCGTTCTCTAATACCTTTCTTTCCCTGTAACAAAACAGTATTGGTTAGTTAGCTGTAGTCCTTTATTTGTACAAAACAAACTTTGGGTCATTTAATATGTGGTGGTTTTAATTTTTCCTGTTGCACATTACCAAATGTGGTTGCAGGAAGAAGTTGCTAAATATGACAAGATATGTGAAGAGGCATACGCCAGCTCCAAGGATGAAAAGATTTTACAAATCCGACACTGGCTCGACTCCCCGTGGCCAGGTAAATGGTTTGCAATCCAGTCATTTAAGTTGAAAAATATTTTAATTCCCTTTTTCTGTGAATACTTTCTGTTCCTACTGGAGTGCAGCTGTCTTTCTCTCTCTCTGTAGATTTCTTCACAGCCGAAGGAGAGCCCAAGTGCATGAGCAGCGTCCCCACAGGACTAAAGGAGGAGGTCTTGCAGCACATTGGCCAGACAGCCAGCTCTGTGCCCCTGGATGACTTTCAGATCCATCCTGGTCAGTTGAGTGGATTTGAAGTTGATTTGTGCATGGGAATAGAGCAGAGTTACAGGCTTGTTGTCACAGTAATGCTGGTGATAGCAGTCCTACACAATGACACAAGAGCACACATTACCATAGCTTATAGTATAATAATAATTAATTAATTAATAATAATAATTCCTTACATTTATTATAGCGCTTTTCCAGATGCTCAAAGCGCTTTACAAATACACATTTTTTTTTTTATACATGCAATGGTCACTGTGGACAATACCCACAGGAGCAAGTTCAGGTGAAGTGTCTTGCCCAAGGACACAACGGCTTTACAGACGCAGCAGCGGCGGGTTTCACCCCTTGATCTGATGATCATTGCACAGCGCACTGCGCCACACCGTCCATCTTCACGCCTCGAAGTCATCGAGGCGCTTTTACAAGTACACATTAGTATCATACATGTACTGTGGATAATACCCACAGGAGCAAATCCGGGTGAAGTGTCTTGCCCAAGGACACAACGGCCTGACGCAGTGGCGGCAGGAGCGGGTTTCAAACTGGAGTTCCCCAGCACCCCCCTTGATCTGATGATCAAACGCACAGACCAAAGGCCACCCGTCCCTTCAGTATACATGCTGCTGAATGATTTTCAAAACACATAAACCTAAATGTCACAATTATTTTTGTCCTGCACAGCTGATTTGGTGTACACTATAACAATTAGGATTGCCACGAGGGTTTTTTAAAGTTATTAACAACATAGTATTTAAGTCCATTGAGTTTTACACTCCCATCCCCAGTGCTTCTAAGATATCACTTTTTATTTGTGTTGCTGTGTGTGTTTTCCCCAGGAGTGTCTCGTATCCTGCGTGGTCGAGCTGACCTGGTGAAGAACCGGCAGATGGACTGGGCTCTAGGAGAATACATGGCCTTTGGTTCCCTTCTCAAAGATGGCATCCATGTTCGACTCAGTGGGCAGGATGTAGAGCGAGGCACCTTTAGGTGAGTCCATGTCAACACAACTAAAAGTAAATGGGGCATCTAAAAAGCATATTTTTAAAACAATCTTGTATTAATGCTCTCAAAGGAGCTCCTTCTTTTACCACAGTGTAGTATCAAGTAGTAGTTTTAAATATGCATCTATTTAGTGAGGAGCATTTTAAGAATATTGATTTTGACATTTTCCTTTTTATAGCTTGAGAGTCTTTATTAGTCCTCCACTCAATGAATGAACTCACCTACCGGGTTTTTCATGTCACAAATTAGCTTTATTTTTCCTCATAATTATCCTATTGGGGCTAATAATATTAAAATGCTAATCATCTTTTAACTTAATCATACTGATATAAAAACACAGTATCTTTTCACAGTAACATTTCGTGTGTCCAAATTCGACATTTATTTATTACAGTTTTTATGTCCTTTTACATACTTTTTCTATATTGTGATATACAGTTAATATCTTTATAAAACATCTTATATCTCATCATTTTAATTGATGTTGCCCATGAATTTAATATTCCAAAATCAATTTCGGCCATTTGTTGAGTCTGTCACGGTCATCAGATCTGACCTCAGATAAGGTTAGCTAGGAAACAGTCACTTAACGATAGTGAATTAAGTAATTGGGGAGTGGGCGTGGCACAGGGAGTCTGACAGACCGAAGACGTCAGCGCGGTCTCCTGGGAACTGTGAAGCCCACATGGTGTTGTCATGGTTTGGAGGGACGAGTGACACATGAACAAAACCAGCTCCCCCTTTTGCTGTGCCTGTCTCATCTGTCCCCTATCATTTCTCCACCAGCCCATCTATACTGACACCAGCCCCCTCCCTCTTTGCGCACAACGACAAACAGTATATCACACTAACTAACCAGAGGCTACAGGGCTTTTTCTTTTGCCTCACATTTACCACTGACATGCACTCCTACCAATCTGCTCTACCCTTCAGCGGGTTAATTTGGCAGGCTGAAAGAAAATGACAGAAATCAAACACTACATCCACCTTGCCCTACCCTCATTTTATTATGTGTGTTTCTCATTATACTTCAGCTATACTCCCTTTACCAGCCCCATTTTCTTCCCACCTACTTTATTTTTTTTATCCCCCACCACTCTGTTCCCTTCACAGTTCTTAGGAGCTGAGCATATTGGCATGTTACAGTCGAGTGGTCCTGCTTGCATTTCTGTGATGTACGTAGCTTCGTGCGCTAATGGATTCAGTCGTCGTGTTTGGGTGGCGTTGCGCTGCGTCGTGCACCCCTTTCCTTGCCTAATGGGGCCCCCAGGCAGAGAATGTATGTGTGTTTTTGTGTGTGAAACGAATAGTAATATAAAGGTGGGACGGCAGTCTATGAGGTAATCCCAAAGAAAGACCTCATTCTTGTGAGGTTTTTGGTTCCTCTTTGGTTTATGTTTGTGTGGTTCAAGAAAATGAGACGTGAACTAGTGTCTAACCTGAATTAATGCTGGATGCTCTGGATTGTATTCGTTCATCAAAGGATGTCTTTAAGTGAAAGTGTATATATGAATGTGGGGCAAGTATACAATAAAAACAGTTGCCATACATTATGCCCTCATTAGTTCTTAATTATGGATCATATTATTCAAAGGAATCAAATCATGAGTGTTTGATTCTTACATGTATGTCAATGTTGTTGGTACCGTCAGAGCCTCATTTCCAAGACCAACGGAAGACCTACGGAAATCAGTAGACCAAAAGTTGAGATGTGGGCTTTAGATTGCTCAAACCAGGTGTACATTAATTAAGGCATTAGAAATCAGGGCTCTGGAGAACATTCGATCCACTGAGGCTGCACTAGAGCAACACAATAAGCAGGCCGATGTGTGCAGCAAAGCTTTAATACCTGACCCTGAGCTGTCAAGCAATTCTGACTGGGGCTTGGTGAAGGAAGCAAAAAGAATGGTTATTACTGCTTTAGTAATAAAATACACAATACCTTCCATATAATAGCTTATCTTTTCTACTTCTAGTCTTCTAGTTGGTAAGATATCACATTTTAAGATAATGATCAATAGATTTCCTGCGGTTCTTCCATCTGACTGTTACATAACCTCTCAAACTGTGTGTGTGTGTGTGTGTGTGTGTGTGTGTGTGTGTGTGTGTGTGTGTGTGTGTGTGTGTGTGTGTGTGTGTGTGTGTGTGTGTGTGTGTGTGTGTGTGTGTGTGTGTGTGTGTGTGTGTGTGTGTGTGTGTGTGTGTGTGTGTGTGTGTGTGTGTGTGTGTGTGTGTGTGTGTGTGTGTGTGTGTGTGTGTGTGTGTGTGTGTGTGTGTGTGTGTGTGTGTGTGTGTGTGTGTGTGTGTGTGTGTGTGTGTGTGTGTGTGTGTGTGTGTGTGTGTGTGTCATTAAAGTGATTTAAGTGATTGTCTGATCGTGCTGGTTTGGAAGGGTGATTCCTGCACTAGGAGCGAGGAGACTGCTAGAGCTTGTTAATGCTTGCCTCTTTGCTCCCATCAACTCTTGTTGGGCCTCATACTGACTGAAGAGGAGGAGAGAGGAGAGTACTCTTCATGCAGAGCCTTTATGGGCCGGAACAAAGGCTCCAGTGTGTATTCTACTGTATAAAAGAGATCCCTTTTTAAACTGGTGTTTTCAAGAGTCAATACTGATTTGCTTTGCTCAGATTACACAACACACCCTACACGAACTCTTCTCACATACAGTAACAACCTTAGGACATAGAAATACATTAAGGAAGAATAGTAAATAATTAAAGTAAGCATTCCCATGGGATGCTATCAGTACCACACCAGCTATACGCACACAAAAGAGACCTTTAAAGTATCAAACAGACAGTAATAATAGCTGCACATTAATGATTAATGAACGTCCTCTGGGTAAATGCTGTTGCAAAACATGGCTGATCTGGTACTGATACTTATTCGTCTTAAATGATGGAATGAAGTTAACAATGAAAAGCAGGGTTAGAGAAGTCAGTTGCGAAGAGTATTGGGTCCCTTCTCTTGTTAAATTGTTCCCTTTTTTTGACTAAACATAAAATAAAAAATAACAGTCAAATAATGAGACTGACAATTAGGGCTGCACGATATTGGAAAAAACTGACATTGCGATTTCCCCCCCCCCCCTGCGATATACACTGAACAAAAATATAAATGCAACACTTTTGTTTTTGCTCCCATTTTTCATGAGATGAACTCAAAGATCTAAAACATTTTTTATATACACAAAATAACCGTTTCTCAAATATTGTTCACAAATCTGAAAAAATCTGTGATAGTGAGCACTTCTCCTTTGCCGAGATAATCCATCCCACCTTACAGGTGTGGCATATCAAGATGCTGATTAGACAGAATGATTATTGTGCCTTAGGCTGGCCACAATAAAAGGCCACTCTGAAACGTGCAGTTTTGCTTTATTGGGGGGGTCCGAAAACCAGTCAGTATCTGATGTGACCACCATTTGCCTCACGCAGTGCAACACATGTCCTTCGCATAGAGTTGATCAGGTTGTTGATTGTGGCCTGTGGAATGTTGGTCCACTCCTCTTCAATGGCTGTGCGAAGTTGCTGGATATTGGCAGGAACTGGAACACGCTGTCGTATACGCCGATCCAGAGCATCCCAAACATGCTCAATGGGTGACATGTCCGGTGGTGAGTATGCTGGCCATGCAAGAACTGGGATGTTTTCAGTCTCCAGGAATTGTGTACAGATCCTTGCAACATGGGGCCGTGCATTATCATGCTGCAACATGAGGTGATGGTCGTGGATGAATGGCACAACAATGGGCCTCAGGATCTCGTCACGGTATCTCTGTGCATTCACAATGCCATCAATAAAATGCACCTGTGTTCGTCGTCCTTAACATGCGCCTGCCCATACCATAACCCCACCACCACCATGGGCCACTCGATTCACAACATTGTCATCAGAAAACCGCTCACCCACACAACGCCACACACGCTGTCTGCCATCTGCCCTGAACAGTGAAAACCGGGATTCATCCGTGAAGAGAACACCTCTCCAACGTGCCAGACGCCATCGAATGTGAGCATTTGCCCACTCAAGTCGGTTACGACGACGAACCGGAGTCAGGTCGAGACCCCGATGAGGACGACGAGCATGCAGATGAGCTTCCCTGAGACGGTTTCTGACAGTTTGTGCAGAAATTCTTTGGTTATGCAAACCGATTGTTGCAGCAGCTGTCCGAGTGGCTGGTCTCAGACGATCTCGGAGGTGAACATGCTGGATGTGGAGGTCCTGGGCTGGTGTGGTTACACGTGGTCTGCGGTTGTGAGGCCGGTTGGATGTACTGCCAAATTCTCTGAAACGCCTTTGGAGACGGCTTATGGTAGAGAAATGAACATTCAATTCACGGGCAACAGCTCTGGTGGACATTCCTGCTGTCAGCATGCCAATTGCACGCTCCCTCAAAACTTGCGACATCTGTGGCATTGTGCTGTGTGATAAAACTATAGGTTACTTACGTAACCCCAGTTCTCAGAATAACATGAAGTGAGATGTCTCACTATGGGATGCGCCTCATCGCGGAGCAAACAGAAGCATCAATCTCATTACGCCAATCCTGATTGGCTGGTGATCTTGACGTCAGCGTCAGGGAATTCACCCCCTATAAGTAGCTTGCGCCACGACGCATGCGTCATTCAAAATAAGAACCTCTTCTCGCTTCACCATAGCAAGGAGGGCCGTCTGGTGAGATATCTCACTTCATGTTACTCTGAGAACTGGGGTTACGTAAGTAACCTATAGTTCTCATTAATAACACTCCGTTCGATGTCTCACTATGGGAAATTGTAGCTCCCGTATTGTCATTGGACAGAGCCCAGGATGCAGCCAGACCCTGAGTCGAAAGAGCTCGCGGACCCGAGGGTGCCTGCGAACTCTGACTCGTATGGGCCCCAAAGCAATTGCTTCCACAAACCAGTGGGAGAGCCGTTGCTTAGTAACAGGCTTGCCCTTATAAGGGTTAGCCCAGGACACAAGGGGTGGGTCATTATGACG